TGAGCTTACTATATTTCTTATTATGCCCAAAAGCAAAATTAAATTTTATGAAGAGAACTATATTGGCTGGTCCAATTTACCAAGATGTTTAAATATGTAGCCTTTAAATTTTAAGAAACACATCATATGCTAGAGAAAATTTGGGGGAAGAAATTCTATCATCTGTAATAATAATTTTCATATTTACAATCAGACTTCACATAATGCAACTTCTTCTATACTGCTACCATAATGGTTGAGGAACAGTTCAGATTGGATGAATCTTAATATATGCAATTGTTCCTTTTCTATTGATCATTTTGGTTGCTTTTGATCTTTCTATATTATTATCATTGCTGTATTGAATATCTTCTTTTAATTTTTTTCATATTTTAAATTACTTCATTAGAACAGCTATCTGGAAGTGGGAGCTACATGAAAAAGTATTTTAATGGCTATTCCTTTATTGTTTTCTAAATGGTTCATATGATTTTATAATGCCATGAAGCTTAGGAGTAATGATTTCACTATAGCTCCTATAGTAGACCACAAAGATAGAGTACACCATATACTCAAGGAAATTCTAAAAACATTTGAAGTTATAACATCAAATGAAGAACTAGAGATCTAAAAAGCCCCAATCATAATCCAAAAATTGTTTACTTTTTTAACGCCTTAAGGAAAAAAACATGATGAACTCTTGCTATCTTTAGTTTTAAGGCATCAATCTAAATATATTTTAATATATTCTAGGAGGCAAAAGTATTTTTTATGTGATGTGTCTTTTGTCATGGATTAAAACAAAATAAGATGAATGGTTAAAAAATAATTTTGGAGACGCATAAGAATAAAGGGGATCCTAATACATTCTCTGAAATACTGCACAAGGTCTATTGGTAAGTCAGAAATAAGAGCTCTACTTTTTATTATTTACACATGATGAATCACTGATGGTCAAGGCTTTTATTCACATTATATTGCATGTGCGCTTTTAGGGTTATGGATGATTTCTGTATTTTTATTTCCAAGTAGAGAAATAATTTGGATTTGGCTCAGGTAAAATTCTATAACATGTGTATCAAGCTGCAGCAGAAAGCACTTCCCAGGGGAGTCATTATCTTACCTCAACTACCTTTTCATTTGCTATTTCCAGCTGAGAAAGCAGCTCTTGGGTATGAAGTTTCTGTCGACTCAGCTCACTCCTATTAATCAAAAGAGAGCACCAAAAATCCATTAATATAATTGTTCAAAATAAGAATCTTTATTAGCAAGATACATGTTCCTGATTTGAATAAAAATACCATCTTGATGTGCAAAATAAAGTCACTTACGAATAGACCATATCTCAAAGGACTCATTTATTTCTTTTTAATAAAATACACATATAATTCTAGAGGTTAGTTGCACAACAATGTGTATATATGTAACACTACTGAATTATACACTTAAAAATGCTTAAGGTGGTGAACTTTATGTATATTTTATCATAATTTAAAAAGTTTTATCACAATTAAAAGGTAAATTTTGTTATGTATATTTTGCCAAACTAAAAAAAGCAAAATAAAAACACATATTTTAAAAGTACAAAAGTATCTTCAATATTATCTTGAGATACTATTAGACATTAAAATAAAAGCATACTCATATTAAAAAGATACAAAATTTGTTATTACAAAATCTCCTAAGCTATTGTGCTACTTAGCTATGGTATGCATCTTTGTTTTTTTTTTTTGAGATGGAGTCTCGCTCTGTAGTGCAAGCTGAAGTCCAGTGGCATGATCTCGGCTCACTGCAATCTCTGCCTCCTGGGCTGAAGCAATTCTTGTGCCTCAGCCTCCCAAGTAGCTGGGACTACAGGTATGCGCCACCATGCCTGGCTAATTTTTTGTATTTTACTAGAGATGAGGTTTCATCATGTTGCCCAGGTTGGTCTTGAACTCCTGAGCTCAAGCGATCTGCCTGCCTCAACCTCCCATAGTTCTGGGATTTCAGGTGTGAGCCACCACGTCCCGCCTTAGTATGCATTTTTAAGATTCATGTACAGTGCTTTTTAGGGGAGCTCAACTCTTACAAATTTAAGAAATTTAAGGAAACATTAATTACTCCAGTATCACTTTAGCACAGTATAGTTAAAATTCTTATTTATGTTTTGGTTGTATATGTACTGCATTTTACTCATTCATATCCTTTATGCTTCATTAGCTGAAATTATCTTATGCACAGAACTGTCTTCTTCTTGTTGTTCAACATATAAATATTATATTGCTTTTAGCCACAAGTCACTTCAAGAGTTTCAGGTTAAGGGTACCTACAACGTAGCCTTAAAATAACTTAATCAGAAAAAAGATCTGATAAATTTCTGAGTATTACATATAATGAATTAATGACGTTCAAAGCTTTTATTCACATTACACTGTGTGTGAACTTTTAGGGTTATGGATGGTTATGGATGATTTCTGTATCATTATTTCCAAGTAGAGAACTAATTTGGATTTAGCTCAGGTCAAATTCTTGATTCAGTATTGGCTTTATCCTTTGACCTTACTTGTGCTTCTTAAATCAATCAACATATTAGCACTTCCAAAATAACTTCAGCTTTGATTTTTTTCAAATAAGCCAGGCAAACAACCTAAACATTTGGGAAGCCTCTCAAGTGTCCTATACTTGATTGAATAGTTATTAAAAATAGCAAGTATTTGTTACAAATATATATAACAAAAAGCAATGTCATCCACTATTCAATTATGCAAATAGTTACTGAACATTCGTTACAGGCCAGGTGCAAGGTATGTGGTGGCAAACATAGAACTGACAGACTACAAGGGAGATCAGTTACTCTAACTCAGTGATTTCATAAATACAGCTTCACTGACTATGAGGAGTTTGAGTATCTATGATTAATTCCATGACAGACAAACACAAATGTTTTGTTTTAGCTTTGAGTGATCATGATAACATAGAATAAATTCTTATGCTTACTTTAAAGTATCTTGTGCAGCTTAAAGTTACTGCCCACCAGCCCCGCAACATTAGAAAAACCCAACTAAATAATGATAAACAAAATGACTAATGGCCAGTCTTCTAGTTCAAATGCAACTAAAGGTAAATGTTACGCATATTAGTGGCGATATAAAATAAATTGTGAGTATAATTGAGATTAAGATGAAACGATCACATTTATAAAGTTAGACAACATTCAGTTTACACAAAACCTTTTCAGGAAAACACCTACTTGTATAATTTCATGCCTAAACTAGTCAGTTACTTACTCAAGACAATTAATCTGAACGATGAATAGTAATGATTTTCCAGAACATTTAAGATCACAAAGACACAAATCATTAAATGAAAGTATACTTTAAGTTACCCTTAATCTATGTAAATATTGATCTCTCTATATATCAAGCTCTGTCTCCCCCACTGGATGGTGAGCAACTTTGTTATTCATCTTTGTACTCAACAAAACCTGGCAAATAATAGTGAAAATGACGATGATGGTGATAATAACCGCAAATACTTCCATAGTAGTGCTTGTTTACAATGTGTCAGGCACTATTCTAGGTATTTTCATATATTAACTTAATATTTCATTTGCATGACTAACATATGAAATCCCCATTTTTATATATGAGAAAATTAAAAGACAGAAACTAAAAAAGTAAGTAACTTGCCTAGGGTCACGTAGCTTGTCAAGCTTTTCTGTTTGTTTTTTGTAGGTTTTTTGAGATAGGGTCTCACTCTGTCACCCAGGCCAGAGTGCAGTGGCACAATCACAGCTCACTGCAGCCTCCACTTACCCGGCTCAGATGATCCTCCTGCCTCAGCCTCCTGAGCAGCTGAGCCTATAGGTGCATGCCACCATGTCCAGTTAGTTTTTTTTATTTTCTGTAGAGACAGGGTTTTGCCACATTGCCCAGGTTGATCTAGAACTCCTGGGCTCAAGCAGTCCTTCTACCTTGGCCTCCCAAAGTGTTGGGATTACAGGTCTGAGCCCACTGCATCTGGCTGCTTATCAGTTGTAGCGTCAAGATTAAAAAAACTTGGTACTTTGATTCCAAAATCTGTGGTCTTAACCACTGCCCTATACTGCAACATGGCAGACAAATGCTGAAAGTTTGTTGAATAAGACACACACACACACACACATACACACACACACACACACACAGAGTATATGTATGTATATGGGTATTAAGCCTTCCAGGAATATGAAAATTTATATACCTACTTGGAAACCTAACAATTTTTACTTCTGACTTCTTCCCTAAATGTCCATTCTTGTATTCAAACTTAACAAACCTAATACCAAGCTTTTTGCATTGTCTTACTTATCTACTTCTCATCTTGTTGCTCAATTTTTATATTGACATCTCTGCCCTAGGTGTCTAGGTTAAAAAGCCTAATGTCAACTCCTGATTCTCACTTTGTCTTTTTTTTTTTTTTTTCTTTGAGACAATCTTGCTCAGTCTCCCAGGCTGGAGTGCAGTGGTGTGATCTTGGCTCACTGTAACCTCTGCCTCCTGGGTTCAAGTGATTCTCCTGCCCCAGCCTCCCAAGTAGCCGGAATTATAAGCACCTGCCACCTTGCCCGGCTGATTTTTGTATTTTTAGTAGAGATGGGGTTTCACCATGTTGGCCAGGCTGGTCTTGAACTCCTGACCTCAGGTGACCCATCCACCTCGGCCTCCCAAAGTGCTGGGATTATAGGTGTGAATTGACTGCGCTTGACTTCTCATTTCGTCTTAAATGCAACACCTCATTTACCCCAAAAGAGACTCTCTGTTTGATATGTCTCTTCCTTCTATTTTTCATTGCTACTCAGTGTTACCATCCCAACTAAAGCTCTTAGAACTTAATTCTTAGATTTATTGTAATAACGAACTGCTTGGGCTTCTCAATATCAAGTGAAACAATATATGTAAAGTACTCTAGTACGGGGCATAGGAATGTACTCAACTAATATAGTGGGTTTTCCTCTTTAGACCACGTATCTCTAGCATATTTCTCTTTCTAAAACACTACTTTAATAATTTGCTTCCGGCAGAGGGCTACAGCCCTCACTGGCCTGGCCAGGACGGGAGCGGCTCCGCCTCTAGGGCACCGGGAAGGCGACTGGAAAGAGATAGGCTCCGGCCATGGCGGCGCCGGGCGCACTGCTGGTGATGGGCGTGAGCGGCTCGGGGAAATCGATCGTGGGCGCTCTGCTGGCATCTGAGCTGGGGTGGAAATTCTATGATGCTGATGACTATCATTCGGAGGAAAATCGAAGGAAGATGGGAAAAGGGATACCGCTCAATGACCAGAGGATGTAGCCTCGGGACAGCATGTGGTTCTAGCCTGAAGAAAATGTACAGAGACATACTAACACAAGGAAAAGATGGTGCAGCTCCGAAGCGCAAGGAGTCGGGAAGGGAAACGAAGTGGGCTAAGATACAGCTCCTGGTGGTCCATCTGAGTGGGTCATTTGAGGTCATCTCTGAACGCTTACTCAAAAGAAAGGGACATTTTATGCCTCCTGAATTATTGCAGTCCCAGTTTGAGACTCTAGAGCCCCTGGCAGCTCCAGAAAAGTTTATCCAAATAAGTGTGAACAAAAATGTTTCCGAGATAATTGCTACAATTATGGAAACCCTAAAAATGAAGCGAGAATGATTTTGTATCAGTGGTCCAGCCATCCAAAACCTCATTCCAGCCTCCTTGGCCATATTATATTCTAAATTTTTCTTAAGGCAAACAAAACCCAATATGTCAAGACAGATTTTTTTGGGTGTAATTTTAGGAATTATCCTGGTTCACTGGGAAGCAGAGGGGGAGTTTTAAAAGTCAAAGCTTAAATTGAAGTTAAAGTTCATCTGTAACCCAATTGAATGATCAGAGGAAATTCTGTAATTGATGCTGAAAATCATTACATTGTTTAGAACATCCTTGCTCATGCCTGTATTTGCACAAATAAATGAAACTTGGCTGTCAAAAAAATATAATAATTTGCTTCCTTGAGCAATAATCTTCAATGGCTATCAGTTACTGGACAAAATAGTCCAAATTCCTGAGAACATCATTCAAGATCCTCCAAAATGTTGTGTAATTTATCTTTCCAACCTTATTTCCAATAAGAACTTTCCATACTTCAGTGGGGCTCTCACTGTTTCGAAAACAAACTGCGTATGTATTACCTTCAGGATCAGGTTTATATCATTTTTTAGATCATGTTTTTCAGATTTCCCATTAAAATCCTGCCCATTCTTTAAGACTGCACCCTTGTCCCACTTCTTTACAGGTCTCCTTTCCATTCATTTAAATGTAGACAGTTCTCTTTACACATCAAACCTTCATGATATTAAGTACTTATTTTATGTATAAGACATTTATAAATCCTGTATTATAATGCTAATTAGTGTTTTTACATAAATTTATGTATACATATATGTACACACACATACATACACACATTGTCCTAAATAGAATATAAATGTTTTTGTTTTTGTTTTGAGATAGGATCTCACTCTATTGCCCAGGCTGGAATGCACTGGTACAATCATGGGTTACTGAAACCTTGATGTTCTGGGCTCAAGTGATCCTCCCACCTCAGCCTCCCAAGCAGCTGGGACTACAGGCATGCACCACCATGCCTGGATAATCTTGTGTTTTCTAGAGCTGAGGTCTCATTATGTTGTCCAGGTTGGTTTCAAGCTCCTGGGCTCAGGCAAACCTCCTGCCTCGGCTTCCCAAAATGCTGGGAAGTATTACACTGTATACTGAGGCTACACTAAATTTATAAAAACATATTTTTTCTTCAACACTAAATTAAACTTAGCCTACTGTAACTTTTTACTTTATACAATTTTTAATTTGCTAACTTTTGACTCTTTTGTATAACACTTAAAACATAAATGTACAGCTGTACAAAAATATTTTTTCTCTGTATCTTTTGTTAAAAACAAAGACACAAACACACACATTAGCCTAGGCCTACACAGGGTCAGGATTATCAATATCATTGTCTTCCACTTGTGTACATCTTGTCCCACTGGAAGGTCTTCAGGAGTAATAACACACAAAGCACTGTCATCTCCTTTGATCCTTTGATAGCAATGCCTCCCTCTGGAATATATCTCTTGATGGACTTGCCTAAGGCTGTTTTACAGTTAACTTAAAAAAAAACTATGTAGGAGTATGCTCTAAGATAACAATAAAAAGTATAGTATAGTAAACACATAAACCAGTAACATAGCTGTTGACTGTCAAGTATTATGTACTATACATAATCGCATGTGCTATACTTTTATAAGACTGGCTGCGCCGTTGTTTAGCATTACCACAAACACCTGAGTAATGTGGACTGTGCTAAGACATTATGACAGCTATGACGTCACTATGCAGCAGGAATTTTTCATCTCCTTTATAATCTTATGAGGCCCCTCTTACATATGTGGTCCATCATTGACAAAATGTTATATGGCATATTATCATATTTGCTGATTTAGGGCTAAAGTTCTAATTTTCTAAAATTAGAAAAATTATAGAAAACATAGCAGTTAGAAAATTTTAATCCTTATTTGCTCAAGATTTACTGAGAAATTTACCAGAAAAACCATATTTTAGATAAAGATTATTGGTATTTATTTAGACTTACTTATATTCTCCTTTCTCCAAATAAATTGAAGTGGCTAAGAAAAGCCCATTTTTCATTCAAGCATTTCTTTCAACCTTAGAGTTGTCTTCCAAATGAAATTTTAGAAAGTATTAAAGGGTGAAGAGAAAAGTGATTTCATCAACTCTACCCCCTAAGACTTTCCTAGAGCCTTCGTGTCAGTACTTTGTAACTTCTTATTTCTCTGTCAGGATATTTCATTGCAGGGATAAAGGAAAGACTCAGGAGGATGATCCGACTCTGTGTTATCTACAAGAAATTTTTCCTTCATTAGAGAAAACTGAGAGTTCCCTGCTTCATGAGTGATTTAGGATAAACATTAAATAAGACTTTCCAGAAAGTTTCACAGTGGTATTACAGTTGAAACACATGCCAAGTAAGACTATATAATCTCTTCTCTGGAAATCTTTAAAAACAGAAACATTCTTACCCATCAGAGATGATTTAACTGTAGCCTGCCAGAAGACACAGAGATAGTGGACATTTCATTTCGGTATGACATTTTAAAGAGTATTTTGTACCAAATAATTGAAATAAAACTGTACTCAATTGCTCTATAATTTCTGGCTTATTATAGGATATGATATAAGGTTTAAGGTGTAATTACTATCTTCCACTAATTTTAAAGTACATACAGAAGAATGAGGAATCCCTTACAGTATCACTGGGCAGTGCTTAGTTCTTTAGTGTCTCATACATTTTTAGTTCACTTATATAACTCACGTCTATGTGATAGAAAATTCTACTCAAGCTTAAAGAATATAATTTAGAAATATACTTGCAAAATGTAATTTCTGTGTAAAAGTTTACTAAATAATTTACATATGCAGCAATTTATGTTGTATCTATTAAAAAATTAAATGCTTAAGTAAACGAAACACTGTAATCAACACTGATATGCCATCAAATTAGACCATTGTAGGAAGACCTTGTGTGTCTGTTTCCTGTCCTAGAAGGAGGATCCATAGATTTCATCAGATTTTCTAAGAGGTCTGAGGCCTAAGGAAAGATAATTTTGGCTGGGCTTTTTGCCTAGAATATACAAAAGCTTTAAATTTTTTTTCTTTAAGAATGGGTACACTGTAATATTTCAATGTTCAATATCTTTCTTATATAAACCATACCCATAATGTATCTACTACAATTATTTCTACTTTTGGTTTCATTAATGTGGCACAAGAATTTAAAAGGCACTTGGTAAACAATCCAAGTGCAACATTTTTCTAGATTTTTACAGTATTCCTTCTATTCTTTTAGAGATGGCTTGCCCATACCTAATTCAATAGCAAATCCTCCAAAGTATTCAACTTTGTTTTAAAAGAGTAACATTGTCTTTCTGTATCAAAATATCACCAGTTTATTTAATGTTAAATTATATATTTCCAAAACAAGTACAACTGGCATAACCCGGTGTGGAAACAAACATTCTGACACTTGTTGAGCGAGAGCTGATGAGGTAGGGGCACATAGAATGCCCTGGGCATTGGTCAGGATGCTTTGTACAGTCATTTATTTCCCTGAATAATGTCATTACATGATTAAGTGGATATCAACCAAGAAGGTTTCTACCAAATCTTAATTTCACTACGGTACCTTATCTTTACTTCAAAGCTTCAAAGTAGTTCTTAGTTTCATCTCATAAGTGAATGAACTTAGACTCAGAGAGGTTTATTTAATATTCTAAGGTCATATAGTGATCAAATAGAAATATGTGCTATAACACTTTTTTCTTTTAAATAATTTCAACTTTTCTTTTAAATTCAGGGGGTACATGTGCAGGTTTGTTACATGGGTATACTGTGTGACACTGAGGTTTGGGGCATGAATAATATCATCACTTAGATAGTGAGCCTAGTACCCAAAAGTCAGTCTTTCAGCTTTTGCCTCTCTTCTCCTGAGTGCCCTGTTTATTGTTTCCATCTTTATGCCCATGTGTACCAGTGTTTTAATCAAAACGTTTTCTCAACTAAATAACACTTTTTCCCACTTAAGTCTAATCAATTACAAGAGATGTTAGTAAAGCAAATCTGTAATATCACACAATATTAAGATCTAAAAGGCAAAATAAACATTTTCTGAACAAAAAATAAATATATAATCCTAGTATGTGGCAAAATGATTAGCAAATGCAAAGCTTATAATCTCAACTTTTTGAATGGCTTCAAAAGTCCTGAACGCTAAAAAAGAAAATTCATTCCAAAGTTTCAAACCTCTTCTCATTCAGTTAACTAAAAATACCATGGGTTAAGGCAGGTGGTCAGCTTTAGATACACTGGAGAGCTTTGTATCACAGTCTTAGGTTCTTTCTTTCCCTATTTACACTTTCCCCCTAAGTGATCTTCTCTAGTCCATGACTGTAAACATAGCATCACAAATTTCTATTTTTAGCTTGACCTCTCTGAACTCTTCACTTGTGTATTCAATGACCTATATGACACGTCTACTAGAAAAAAACTAATAAGTGTCTCAAATGTAACCTGTTCAAATGGAAACTACTTCTTACCTACCTCTTCCCAAGTTCCCTCCTTCCTAGTAAATAACCATCGCCCTCTTACCTAGCTGCTCAAGTCAAAAGGTTAGGCATCATCTTTGATTCCTCCTTTTTCCCTCATGCTGTATATTCAATTTATCAGTAAGTCCTGTTCTACCTCCCAAATGTATTTCAAAACTGTCCGCTTTTCTCCATCTCGATTGAAGATACCCTATTCTAAGCCACTATCATCTATTGCCAAAACTAGTGTAATACTCTAATACCTGGTTTCTCTGATTCCATTTTTGTTCCCTCTCTAGTCTATTTTCCACACAGTAGTTATAAGTGGTCTTTTAAAGTTTAAGGATGTTGGGCCGGGCGTGGTAGCTCATGTCTGTAATCCAAGCACTTTGGAGGCCAAGGCAGGCGGATCACCTGAGGTCGGGAGTTCAAGACTAGCCTGACCAACATGGTGAAACCCTGTCTTAAAAAAAAAAAAAAAAAAAAAAAATGTCTAAGGATGTTTAAAATCCTCCAAAGATTTCCCATTGCTGCACTTTAGATTTTTTTTTTTTACCTTAAAATAGTATTACTTAAACATTCTACTTAAAATACATAAAAATATTTCATTTAAAATAGCCCAATCTATCTGATGATCCCTGCAGAGGTAGCTCTTCAACATTACAGCATTCTTTCTCCTCACTCACTATACTCATGTGACTTTACTCCTTCCTAACAGTGGACCTTTGTACTTGCTATTCTTCCATCTGCCTGGAATATTTTCCTTTTTGGTATAATTTGTTCTCATTTTTCAGGCCTCAGTTTAAATGTCACCTTTGCAGACTA